TTTCTTGTTACGATGATTTTCCACTTCACTCTGAAATTCTTTGAACTTTTCATATGTTTCAGACTTATGCTTCATTAAGTAGATATAACCATATCTACTCAAATCATATGTGAAGGTGAGAAAATAACGATACCCACCACGAGCATCAATACTCATTGGACCGCATACATCGGTATGTATTATTTCCAATAAGTCAGTTGCTCATTCCATTGTTCCGAAGAACGGAGTTTTCGTCATCTTGCCCATAAGGCACGGTTCGCAAGCACCAAGTGATTCATAATCAAGTGATTCCAAAAGTCCATCAGTATGGAGCTTCTTCATGCGCTTTACACTGATATGACCCAAACGGCAGTGCCACAAATAAGTTGTACAATCATTATTAAACTTCAATCTTTTGGCTTCAACACTATGAATATGTGTATCACTACTATCGAGATTCAATGAAAATAGACCACTCGGCAGGGGTGCATGACCATAAAAGATATTACTCATATAAATAGAACAACCATTATTCTCCGATTTAAATAAATAACCGTCTCGCATTAAACAAAATCTAGATATAATGTTCATGCTCAGCGCTGGCACCAAATAACAATTATTCAGGTCTAAAACTAATCCCGATGGTAGATGTAGAGGTAGCGTGCCGACCGCGATCACATCGACTTTGGAACCATTTCCCACGCGCATCGTCACCTCGTCCTTAGACAATCTTCGCTTAATCCGTAGCCCCTATTTCGAGTTGCAAATATGAGCAACAGAACCAGTATCAAATACCCAGACGCTACTGCGAGCATTAGTTAAGTACACATCAATAACATGTATATCAAATATACCTTTCACTTTGCCATCCTTTTTATCCGCCAAATACTTGGGGCAATTCCGCTTCGAGTGACCAGTCCCTTTGAAGTACAAGCACTCAGTTTCAGGCTTAGGTCCAGACTTGGGTTTCTTCTCTTGAGCAACAACATTTTTGCCGTTCTTCTTGAAGTTCCCTTTCTTGCCTTTGCCCTTTTCCTGAAACTAGTGGTATTATTGACCATCAACACTTGATGCTCCTTTTTGATTTCAACCTTGGCGGCCTTTAGCATCACGAAGAGCTCAGGAATAGTCTTGTTCATCCCTTTCATATTATAGTTCATCACGAAGCCTTTATAGCTTGGTGGCAGTGATTGAAGAACTCTGTCAATGACACAATCAACTAGAAGATCAACTCCCAGTTGAGTCAAGTGATTATGATACCCAAACATTTTGAGTATGTGTTCACTGACAGAACTATTCTCCTCCATTTTATAGCTGTAGAACTTCTTGGAGACTTCATATCTCTCAACTCGGGCATTTTCTTGAAATATTAACTTCAACTCCCGGACATCTCGTATGCTCCATGACGTTCAAAACGTCTTTGAAGTCCCGATTCTAAGCCGTAAAGCATGGCACACTGAACTATTGAGTAGTCATTAGCTTTGCTCTACCAGACATTCTTAACGTCATCAGTAGCATCTGCAACAGGCCTGGCACCTAGCGGTGCTTCCAGGACGTAGTTCTTCTGTACAACAATGAGGATAATCCTCAAGTTACAGACCCAGTCCGTGTAGTTGCTGCCATCATCTTTCAACTTAGCTTTCTCTAGGAACGCATTAAAATTCAAAGGAACGGTTGCACGGGCCATTGATTTACAACAACATAGACATGCAAAATACTATGAGGTACTAAGTTCATGATAAATTAAAGTTCAATTAATCATATTACTTAAGAACTCCCACTTAGATAGACATCACTCTAATCATCTAAGTGATCACGTGATCCAAATCAACTAAACCATGTCCGATCATCACGTGATATGGAGTAGTTTTCAATGGTGAACATCACTATGTTGATCATATCTACTATATGATTCACGCTTGACCTTTCACTCTCAGTGTTCCGAAGCTATATCTGCATATCCTAGGCTCGTCAAGTTTAACCCAAGTATTCTGCGTGTGCAAAACTGGCTTGCACCCGTTGTATGTGAACATAGAGCTTATCACACCCGATCATCACGTGGTGTCTCGGCACGACGAACTGTAGCAATGGTGCATACTCAGGAAGAACACTTGTACCTTGAAATTTATTAAGGGATCATCTTATAATGCTACCGACGTTCTAAGCAAAATAAGATGCATAAAGGATAAGCATCACATGCAATCAAAATATGTGATATGATATGGCCATCATCATATTGTGCTCATGATCTCCATCACCGAAGCATCGTCATGATCTCCAACGTCACCGGCGCGACACCTTGATCTCCATCATAGCATCGTTGTCGTCTCACCAACTATTGTTACTACGACCATCGCTACCGCTTAGTGATAAAGTAAAACAATTACATGGCGATTGCATTGCATACAATAAAGCGACAACCATATGGCTCCTGCCAGTTGCCGATAACTTTGTTACAAAACATGATCATCTCATACAACAATTTATATCACATCATGCCTTGGCCATATCACATCACAGCAAGCCCTGCAAAAACAAGTTAGACATCCTCTACTTTGTTGTTGCAAGTTTTACGTGGCTGCTATGGGCTTCTAGATACAACCGTTCTTACCTACGCATCAAAACCACAATGATTTTTCGTTAAGTGTGCTATTTTAACCTTCAAGAAGGACCAGGCGTAGCCACACTCGATTCAACTAAAGTTGGAGAAACACACACTCACCAGCCACCTATGTGCAAAGCATGTCCGTAGAACCAGTCTCCCGTAAGCGTACACGTAATGTCGGTCTGAGCCGCTTCATCCAACAATACCGCTGAATCAAAGTATGACATGCTGGTAAGCTGTATGACTATTATCGCCCATAACTCTTTGTGTTCTACTCATCCATATAACATCTATGCATAGACCTGGCTCGGATGCCACTGTTCAGAAACGTGGTAATTGCAAAAAAAATCCTACGATCACGCAAAATCTATCTAGGAGATGCATAGCAACGAGAGGGGAGAGTGTGTCCATGTACCCTCGTAGACCGAATGCGGAAGCGTTATGACAACGCGGTTGATGTAGTCATACGTCTTCACGATCCGATCGATCATAGCACCGAAGGTATGGCACCTCCACGATCTGCACACTTTTAGCTCGGTGACGTCTCACGAACTCTAGATCCAGCTGAGGTCGAGGGAGAGTTTCGTCAGCACGACGGTGCGGTGACGGTGATGATGAAGTTACCGGTGCAGGGCTTCACCTAAGCACTACGACGATATGACTGAGGTGATGAGTATTACCGAGAGGGCCCAGAGATACCTCTCCGAAACATAGAGTGACAAATCCTAATCTCTATCTATGCCAACCCAATTAACACCTTCTGAGACACCTTTATAATCACCCTTTTACGTTGTGATGTTTGGTAGCACACAAAGTGTTCCTCCGGTATTCGGGAGTTGCATAATCTCATAGTCTGAGGAACTTGTATAAGTCATGAAGAAAGCAATAGCAATGAAACTAACATGATCGTAATGCTAAGCTAACGGATGGGTCATGTGTCCATCACATCATTCTCCTAATGATGTGATCCCGTTCATCAAATGACAACACATGTTTATGGTTAGGAAACATAACCATCTTTGATTAACGAGCTAGTCAAGTAGAGGCATACTAGGGACTATAGATTTTGTCTATGTATTCACACATGTACTAAGTTTCCCGTTAATACAATTCTAGCATGAATAATAAATATTTATCATGAATTAAGGAAATAAATAATAACTTTATTATTGCCTCTAGGGCATATTTCCTTCAAGAGCGGCCATTGGTCGAGCATCGAGATGGAGCAAAGCAAAGAATCCTTGGTGGCCATAGGTTCCTCAGTGACCTCCTATTTTGGAGGGCAACGACAACGAGCCGAACCACATGTTGGATTTCTCTCTAGTAAGGGGAACGATCGACCTAATGATCCGCAAAAAAGGAGGGGGACGACCGAATGAGCGACGTGACTATGTATGTGTGAGTTGAGATGGACAAAATAGGTTAGCAAACCGTGCTCAACAAACTGAAGTTATGTTCAAGGTAAATTTCTGCTTTGTATCACGCACCCAAGGTTGCTTGAAAGTGATGGTTTTTCTGACATCCCTATCCTCTCCCTCTCCCCACCCCGACCATGGCCGCCGATCGCGGCGCCAGCAACACGCGCTGACACTGACGCATCGGGGACGGTGGTTGTGGGGCACGTTCGTGTATCGCTCAGCGCGTCCCGTGTACCGCAGCGGACTTTGGACCCAGGGGTACTCGGACCTGCACCTGACACGCGCGCCACGGCGGGGTCAGGGGGTGGGGCGAGCCCGGGCCAGGTGGGGCCGCCGGCTACAGGTCACGCGGCTAGGGTTGCGGATGGGATAAAATCCCCATCGACCCTCTCATACCCCATTCCAGATCTTGATCTCCTCCTCCACCACTTCTAGGAGGCGCCTAGGGTTTCGTCGCCTAGGGTTTCCCCGTCCTTCGGCTGGTGGGAGGGGAAGGCGGGAGGAGACCACAGAACCTTCGCTCAGGTCACTGTATCTCCACCAAGTGCGAGTCCACCCACTCCCATGGCAGATTGAGGAGCAGAGAACTGCGGCCATTGGCTGGATGGCTTCGGGGCGGGCCAGGGTGGCCGGGGTGCCGGTCGCTTCGGACGGGGCGTCGGGCGCGGCGGTGGTGGAGGCGGTCGCAACATGGTGTGGACGTGGGACAGCGAGGAGGGCGGTCAGGTATCCACCAACATGGATCAAGGGCGCGTGCAGCCAGATCGAGCAAGGTGGGACGCCACTACCATGGAGACGCAGAGCGATGACCATCATACCGAGAGGTGGGGTGACAACAACAACCAAGGCAAGGCGACTACGTGCGACAATCAGCATCCTCAACAAGATCTGCGTCCTCAACAAATCGCCGTCATCCAACTCCAGGAAGAAGGAATGCCACCCCACTAGTGGGTGGTGCTGAGGTTTGGGTCACTTGCAAAGAACCAGGGCATGTCCCCATGTGCTGTCCTAGGGCAGTTTGCTGTAGATGTGGTTTAAATGGGCATCTTGTTCCTATTTGCAATACTGTTCTTCCTTGGGAATGTGTGGCCCCTATGTGTGGATTTCAAGCTAAGGGGAAGGGTTTCTTCTATATACATGACTCTAGTACACCCAAGCAGAACACTGATAGGAACATATATATTGTGATCACTGTGATAGAGGGGCAAGCTAGTGCCAGGCAGTTGGAGGAGTTCTTTAATGCATACATTAACACAAACTGGAAATGTTCAGCTAGATCGATTGGGCTTAATACCTTTGTCATGAGATTTCCTTCACCCAAGGACGTTGACAAAGCTTGCTTTGCTGAAACTATGAACATTAAAAGCTATGGGGTTGTGGCGAGTCTTAAAAAATGGTCTGAATCTATGGGAGCCAAGGGTGTACTTAACATTGCTTGAGTCAATGTTAGCAACATCCCTTTGGACAAAAGATGTGAAAAAATATTGCATATGTTGGATCTTTGGTGGGTGTAACTCTAGACATTGATAAGTCTACTGCCAACAGGCCCGAATTGGTCAGGATCAAATTGGGTTGTAGAGATGCTGAGGACATCCCAGCTAGGGCAGAGGGGGTGTTTGGAGATCATTTTTATGATTTCTTCTACTCAGTGGACAAAATCCTTGTTAAAAATACTCCAAAAGAAAATGTGACATTACCTCAGGATGCAGACAAGGGGGTGCCACCCAAGAGAGCTAGAATCACAGGAAATATGCAAAATGGTGGTCAGGGGGGTTCTTCTTCCACTTTGGGGAATCTTTCTGCTCCACCAAACTCAGTTGGGAGGGGAGTAAACATGCATGTTGTAACAGAAATCTGGAAGAGGAAAATGATGCTGGAAAAAATCTAAGAGAAAATGAGGAGAGTTTCTCTGAGGAGGAAAGTGAGGATATTGGTAATGAGCTACTTATTAACACTATTGTTGTTGAAAATAGAAAAAAATCAAATGGAGGGAGTGGAGGCACCAGAAACTCTGTCATATGAAAAGATTGTGGTGAACTCTATGCAGATCATACCCAGCGTTCCACTTATCAGAAAAAAAACATCTTATCTGGATGCTGTGTTGGTGCAACCTTATGTTACTGAACTTGATCCTGATGATGTATCATGTCAGCAAGTACCCTCTTTGTACTCTGTGCAATCCCCTGATACTTCTGGGGAGGAGAATGTGGAGGTGATCCATACTCCACCTATGGTGGAAGAAATACAGATCAGGATGAGTCAAAGAACAACTGGTGGTAAAATGGAACATATGGGGGTTCGAGCTGAAAAATTGATCAAGAAGAGAAATCTTCAAGGTAATGAAACAACACCTAACTCCAATCTTTTGAGATTTTGTCTAACTTAGAAATTGTAGATACTGCTTCGATGATGGGGGTTGATATTCCTGACAACAATTTTACTGTTCCTGATGTGATTAGAGAACTGGAAAAATCCAGAGCCAATATAGCCGAGAAAACTAAAAATATAGAGAAACAAAAAGATAATGTGATGTTTATTACCAATGCTGCTAGGGACAAATCTCCTTTAAATACAGATTGGGTGAGGGATGGTGAGATTGATGAAGAGGAGTTTACTATTGTTAGATCTAGAAGGAAAGATAAGAAGAAGGTTAATGTAGTAATTTCCAAACCTGTGACTAGAAGTCAGAAAAAAGTGTATTTTGATGCTGGTTCGACTATGCCTCCTGGTAAACCTAGCAACAAAAGACAATCTCCCAAATGTAAGAAAAATGATTAGCCTCTTCTGGAATTGTAGGGGAGTTGGGAAGAGGGGTATGGAAACTTGCTTATCTGACTTGATAAGGGACTGTGGTTTAGATTTTATTGGTATTCAGGAAACGATGAAGAAGGATTTTTCCTCTAAATTCTTAGGAAAATTGATCCAGGAGAGTACTTTGATTGGAGGTTGATCCCTTCAATGGGCAAATCTGGGGGGATTTATGTGGTACTAAGAAAGATACTTTTGATGTTAGATCCTATGAGACAGGAAAATATATCATGAAACTTGAGTTGTGGGATAAGAGTAAAGAACTGTTATATTGTATTCTGGTAGTATATGGATCTGCTCATGAAGAGTATAAGGTGGAATGTTTGACTGAGTTGTCTGACATGTGTAACAATATTACTTGCCCTTACAATGTGGGGGGAGATTTTAATATCCTTAGATATGCTAAGGAGAAAAATAAGAAAACTAACAACCCATGTTACTGATCTCTTTAACTCCATCATTAATACTTTCTGTCTTAGGGAAGTTGACATGAATGGTGGTATATACACTTGGTCTAATAATCAGCAAAATCCTACCCTTGAAAAGTTGGACTGTATACTTATGTCCAGTTCTTGGGAAAGGCAATTCCCTTTGACTTTTGTCACGAAATTGGTTAAAGAGATTTCAGATCATAGCCCTTTGATCTTGAATACTAAGGACTTTATCCCTAATTCAATACATAAGAGAGAATTCAGATTTGATCTTAATTGGCTCAAGAATCCTGAATTTATACCCTTAGTTGCTAAGGTGTGGATGAAACCTGTAAATGCAAATGATCCCATTGATGTGTTAAATATTAAACTGGAGAGATTCAAGAAGTTTTTCAAAGGATGGGGATCTAACTTGTTTGGGAAATCTAGAAAGAGAGGAGAGAATTCAGAGAGGAGCTAGAACATCTATAAAAACTAGAACAATGAGATGTGCTTTCCCCTGAATTATATTGTAAGAAAGTTGATATTTTGGTGGAAATATATAGTCTCCTGGTGGAAGAGGAGATTGCCTGGATGCAAAAATCCCATGAAAACTGGTTGTTGAAAGGGGACATAAATACTGACTATTTCCACAAAATAGTTAATGGGAGAAGGAGGAGGAATACTATTTTCTCACTTAGTTGTGGAGATGAAGTGATAGAGGGGACCAAAAACCTTTTGAAACATGCAACTGAGTTCTATAAAGACCTTTTTGGGCCTGCACCTGGAAATTTATGCAAGTTGAGGGAGGATATGTGGGAATCAGAAGAAAAATTAACATATATTGACAATTTTATTCTTACTAGGCCCTTTTATGAAACAGAGATAAAAAATGCTATCTTCTATATGAAACCAAACAAAGCACCAGGCCCAGATAATATCCCCATTGAATTTTTCCAACACTGCTGGGAAATAGTAAAAAATGAAGTGTTACTTCTATTTGAGTGGTTTTATGACAACAAGATAGATGTGCAACGCTTGAATTATGGGATTATCACCCTGCTACCTAAGGTTGTTGGTGCTAATAAAATCCAGCAATTTTGTCCCATATGCTTGCTGAGATGCATTTATAAGCTAATCACTAAGGTGCTTACAATTAGACTAGAGCCCTATGTTTATATTCTGTTCAGTAGACATCAGAATGCTTTTATTAAGAAAAGAGATATCATGGATGGAATCATGTATTTACATGAGATTCTCCATTATACTTACAGTAAGAAAAAAATCTGGGATCGTGTTGAAGCTCGACTTCAAAAAGGCTTACGACAAACTTAATTGGGATTTCTTGTTGGATTGTCATAAGATGAGAGAATTTCATCCGCAATGGATTGAATGGGTTAGAAAAATCTTAGTAGGAGGCACGGTTAGTGTGAAGTTGAATGATGAGGTGGGCCCCTACTTTCAAAGTTCAAAAGGGGTGCGCCAGGGGGACCCGTTCTCACCTTTCCTCTTTAATTTGGCCACTCACTGCTTGACGAAAATGGTGATTAGGGCTCAACAAAATGGCTTGTTCAAGGGGTAGCGTCTAACCTGACCCCAAATGGGGTAGCTATCTTGCAATATGTGGATGACACGATTTTGTGTTTCGAGGATAATCCTAGAAATGCTCTTAATATTAAGTTGCTGTTATATCTTTTTGAAGTCATGTCTGGGTTGAAAATCAATTTTTTGAAAAGTGAGATCTTTTCGGTACGTGCTGATGATATTACTATGCAAAGATATGCAGAGATGTTTAACTGCCAAATAGGTAACTTCCCTATCAAATACCTAGGCATGCCTGTTAGCTATGATGGTTTTGAAGTGTTGTGATTGCTTTTTGTAGATGACAAATTCATCAATCATTGTGAGAACTGGATTAGTGAAGTACTGTCCATTGGGGGGAGGCTTATTAAAGTAAATTATGTGATGTCACATGTTCCAACTTTCTACATGTCTATGTTTCTTCTGAATAAGACTACTTTGGATAAATGGGACAAACCTAAAAGGAAATTTTTCTGGCATAGCAAAGGAAAAAAGAGAGGTTACCATATGGTTAAGTGGAGCCGTATATGTCGATCCAAAAAGAAAGGGGGTTTGGGTGTTAAAGACTTGAAAAACAGAATATTAGTCTATTAGTGAAATGGTGGTGGAAACTTGAGAAAAATAAAGGGCTCTGGCAAGATATTGTTAAGGCAAAATACTTAAAAGAAATCTTTGCACTACTAGGAAAAAGCCTACTAATGGCGCACTGGTTTTGCCTACTAATGGCGCATTACCAGTGCGCCATTAGTAGCACGCCACTAGTATTTTTTACTAATGGCGCACCACTGGTGCGCCATTAGTATCTGGTATACTAATGGCGCACCAGGCAGTGCGCCATTAGTTTTGCCCATAGTGCGCCACTAGTGTCTTCTATACTAATGGCGCATCACAGGGTAGTGCGCCATTAGTAACAATTTTTTTTCTTAATCTCAGGTCACTATTTCACCTATGAGATATCCAACACATATATATACAACAAGCATCCATATAACAATCATAGCCAACACACAAGTTTCACCTATGCGGCTACTGCAGGGGCCTGTACCGGAGGCGGGGCAGCGGAGGGTTCGGCCGGCTGGGCGCGCCACGGCGGCGGGCTGGCAGCGGTGGCGGCGGCTAGGAACCCTAGCTGTC